CAAAGAAAAAAATCACAAAATTAGAGAATATTTTGAACTGAAGGAAATCAAAACACAACACAGCAAAATTTGTGGGATGTAACTAAAACAGTATATAGAGGAAAATTCATAGTTTAATTAAGTGCTTATATTAGAAAAGAAGAAAGGTCTAAAGTCAGTGCTCTGAGCCTCTACCTTAAGAAACTAGAAAAAATAAGAGGAAAGTAAATCTAAGGAAAATAAGAGCAGAAATCAATGAAATAAAAAACCAATGAAACTAAAAGCTGTTTTTTAAAAAAAGATCAATAAAATTGTAAACCATAGCCAATTGATCAGGACAAAAAGTGAAAATACACAAATTCCTAATATCAGGAATGATGGAAGTGGGACATCATCACAAAGACAGCATATGTTAAAAGGATAATGAGGGAATATTATGAACAACGATTTTATGCCAATAAACCTGACAACCGAGATGAAGTTGACAAATTCTTGAAAAAGACAAACTACCAAAGCTCTCTCAAGAGGAAATAGTTAACATGAATAGCCCTATTCTATTAAATAAATTGCCCCTGTTCATTTAATTAAAATTCATTAAAAACCCTAACTAATATAGGGCTATTTAACAATAGCCTTATTTTTGTTAAAGAAATTGAATTTGTAGTTAAAAACTTGCCCAAAAAGATAATTCCAGTGCCTGATCACTTCACTGGACAATTCTACAAAATATTTAAGGAAGAAATAATACTTTTTCTACATAAATTCTTCCAGAAAATAGAAGAGGAGATTACACTTTCCAGCTGGCTTTATGTGGTCAGCATTACCCTCTAAAAAAAAGATGGCAAAAACATTACAAGGGGAGATAAAAGTATAGTACAAAAAAAAAAAATCTGGCAATACTCATAGATTAAAAAGAGCAGTATATCATGACCAAGTTGGGTTTATTCCAGGAATTAAGGTTAGTTTAACATTTGAAAATCAATCAGTATAATTTGCCACTTTAACATGAATAAAATGGAAGAACAATCTCAATAGGTGTAGAAAATGTAAATTTAACACCTATTCATGAATTTAAAATTCTCAGAAAACTAGGAAAAGAAGGGAACTTTCTCAACATAGTAAAGGGCGTCTACTGAAAAAGTTATTGCTAACATACTTAATGGCTAAAGACAGAATACTCTTCACTAAGATTGAGAAAAAGGCAAGGATGTCCACTCTCATAAAATGTTCTGTTCAGCATTATACCGGCCAACCTCATTGGTGTAACAAGGTAAGAATAAGAATTTAAAAACCTTAAAGATTAGAAAAGAAGAAGCAAAACTGTCTGTATAAGAAGCATGATCGTATATGTAGAAAATCCTAAAGAATCTAGAAAAAACTGATTAGAACTAATTAGCAAGATTGTATGATACAAGGTGAGTATACAAAAATCAGCTGTATGAGAGTACTTCAGAAAGTTTGTGGAAAAATAGAATTGGAAGATAATATAAATCTGTAAACACAACAGTAGTGAACACTTGGAAACTAAGTAAATAGTAGTACCATTTATAGTAGCTTTAGAATTATGATATACTTAGAGATAAATTTAACAAAATATGTCAATATTTGTACACTGAAAACTATAAAATAGTGCTGAAATTTAAAAGACCTACATAAATGATTTTTATATTTATGAATGTTTATGAATTGTATGGCTTGATATTAGTTTGTCAGTTCTCTGCAAATTGATCAGAATCAACACAGTCCCATCCCATAGGAAGATTTTTTTGTAGAAATAGATAAGCAGATTTTAAAATTTATGTGGAATTGCCAAGGACTTGGTATATAGTCAAATCAGTTTTGAAAAAGAACAGTGTTAGTGGATTTATCCTACTTGATTTCAAGATTTCTTATAAAGCTACAGTAAGTAGGACATTGAAGTATTGGATTGAGTAGACATAGATAATTGGAACAGAATAGAGAATCTAGAAATAGAAATAAACCATGTGGCCAGTTATTTTTGTCAAAGGTGCCAAAGTAAATCAATGAGGAAAGGATAATCTCTTCAACAAATGGTGTTGGAACAATTTGACATTTATTTTTATTTTTTATTTATTAATATACAGTGTAGTTGATTTTTGTGTCCCTTTACCAATTCCTCCTTTCCCCCCTCCCCATCCCTCCTCTCCCAACATTTATGTGCAAAAAATTGAATCTTGATCTTGACCTCATGAAATAACATCTGGAAAATTAAAAATTAACCTGAAAAGTGTTATAAGTTGAATTCCCTCCACCCTCAAATTTATATGTTGAAATCTTAACCCCCAGTATCTCAGAATGTGACTTATTTGGAAATGAAGTCATTGAGATATAATTAGTTAAGATGGGGTCTTACTGGAGTTGGGTGGGCCCCTAATCTGATATGACTGGTGTTCTTATTAAAAGGGGAAAGTGGACACAGACACACACACAGGGAGAGTGCCATGCAAACATGAAGGCAGACATCAGGATTATAGCTTTGTAAGCTAAGGAACACCAGAGATTGCCAACAAACCACAGAAGCTAGAAAAGAGCCAAGAAACAATTTCTCAGTCAGTAGAAGGAACCGACCCTATGGACAGCTTAATCTTGGACTTCCAGAACTGTGAGACAATAAATTTCTGTTGTTTAAGATACTCAGTTTTGTAGTATTTTGTTATGGCAGCCCTAGCAAACTAATATAAAAAGAATAATAGAACTTAGATTTAAAACCATTAAACTCCTAGAAGAAAATATAGGAGAAAATCTTTGTGACTTTTGGTTAGACCAAGGTTTTATAGAAAAAGTTTTAAGCAAGAATTATAAAAGACAAAGTTGATGTTAGACTACATAAAAATTAAAATTTTTGTTTTTCAAAAAACACCATTAAGAAAATGAAAAAGCATGTCTCAGACTGGGAGAAAATATTTGTATTTTATGTGTGTGTGTGTGTGCATATATATCATATATATGATTAAGGGCTTTTATCCAGAATATATAAAATAAACTCTTACAACTCAGTATTAAGAAGACAAATAACTTGAATAAAAATTTGGCAAAAGATTTGGACACTTGACCAAACAAGAATAATAAGTAAGCACATTAAGTGTTGGCTGGTTAGCTCACTAAGTAGAGCTTGGTGCTGATAACACCAAGGTCAAAGGTTTGGATCCCCATACTGGCCAGGCCCAAAAAAGCAAAATAAATAAATAAAAGCACAGTGAGAGTTACTTAACCTGGTTAGTTATTAGAGAAATACAAATTAAAATTACGAGATACCACTTACCCTCTAACTAGAATGGCCTATAACAGTTCCAAGTGTTGGTGAAAATGTAGAGCAATGTGAACTCTCATATAATGCTGGTGAGAATACAAAATTGTGTAGCTACTTTGGAAAACAGTTTGGCATTTCTTATAAAGTTCAAGATACACTTACCCAAAGAACTGGCAACACTGTAAATACCCATTTACTAGGTATTTACCCAAGATAAATAAAAACATGCCCACAGAGGGACTTGTATTCAAAGGTTTATTGCAGCTTTATTCATAATAATAAGTTGTGGAAACAACCCAAATAAATGTCCATTGATTGGCAACTAAATAAGTTGCAGTATGTTCATAAGATGGAATGCTAATTGGCAGTACAAATGAATGAATTACTGATAGACACACCATGGATGAATCTTAAAAACATTGTGCCGACTGAAAGAAGCAAGACACAAAAAACATATACTATATAATTCCATTTGTATGAAGTCGTTAAACAGCAAAACTGTGGTAACAGTTGAAAGTAGATCAGCAGTTGCCATGGGCTAGAAGTGTGGGAAGGGGCAGGAGGGAACTTTCTGGGGGTGGGGTGTAAGAATGTCTTTATCATGATTGCAGGTTGCATGACTATGCATTTGTCAATCTCATTGAATTGTACACTTAAAATTGACAACTTTTATTTTTTATATATTATACTTCAACAAAGACAGAACCATAAACAAACTGAATGTCTACTGTCAAGTGCTGTGTTTGGAATATGATAAGATAAATGTGATGTGGATCCTGCCCCCAGGGAGTCCACAGTCTGTAGACATTGTACAGAAAGACTTGTAGGTCAGAGAGATAAGAGCCCTAAAGAGAAGTACTGAGGCACAAAGGAAGGAGTAATTGATCAGGAAAGGCCCTACAAAGGAGCCTTGAGTTTTAATTTGATGGTTCAACAGGAGTCAGATGAGTGTTGAAGGGAAGAGCATTCCAGGCAAGGGATGCAAGTATGAAACTGCATGTTATGTATTGTAACCGCAAAGAGCCTGGTATTGTTGGAGTCCTGGAGCCATGAGATTTATGTAGAACCAGCAAGAGTTGAAGCTGGTTGGGTTGGCAGAGATATATAAGGTGGACTGTTTCTCACATTTATTTACCAAACTTGTATTGCAAAAGAAACTTGAGAGAGAAACCCTACTCTTGAATGAGAGATGAGATGATCAATGTACCCTTTCATTTCTCTTAAAACAAACAAAAAACCAATAATAACAAAAACACCTAGCTCTAGAATCAACTGTTTTAAAACAGTAACTCTCCCTGAACAGACCTCTACTGAATTTGTGTAACTAAGATTGTACTTGACCTTTCACATGTTACATGTTTTAATGTTTGAGAAAGCCTTTAATACTAGCACATTAATAGTTATCTGGGAGAACTGCTGAGATTAGCCAGATGTGGCTTGTACCTTCAAGGAAATACCATTCCTTTATATCTATCGGGAGAAGTACAAAATTTCCCCCGCATTACATTTTGGAAAGGAGAAAACTTTCTGAAACTGCTTATTGGTTCAGCTCCATATATGAGTATATGAAATTCTTGAACATCACTCTCGGAGTGATGTAGGGAATCGTGTGTGTGTGTGTGTGTGTGTGTGTGTGTGTGTGTGTGTGTGTGTGTTTATTGGGGGCAGACACAGAAAGATTTCCATTAATGGATGGGACAGCTGATTTTGAAGGCTTGCTTTAAAATCTAACGCTTCTTGTATATTACAGGCAATGGAGTTTGAAGGCTGGGCCGACACCCTCTTTCTTCTGCAGTTCACCCTCTCCTGTGTGATGGGGTGAGCCTTTGCTGCTGCCTTGTTAACAGATAGTTTTCTTATAGAAACAGATTAGAGAAATTTGTTCTAGAGTCTTTTTGCCACATTTCTCAGTGTCTTGTTCAGTCTTTGAGTATGTCAGCTTAGGATAATTAAGCCTCCAGATTCAGGTGGTTTCACAGCCTTTGGGAATGTGCTCTCAGGGCTACTGAACTTATTCCAAAGTCATGCTTAGAAGGATGGAGAAAAGAAACTGATATTATGTGATAACTTACTGTGTGTTAAGCGCCATTGTATTTCAACATGTATTTTATGTCTACATTGACCATTTGACAGACATTGTTATCCCCTTACCTATGAGAAAGCCGGCTCAGAACTTAAGTAAATTGTCTAAGTTTGCACATTTAGTAGATGGCTGTGGCAGTATTTGAATTTGGGGCCTTTTGACTCCCCTCTACCGTGTGGTCTTCCTCTTAGAAGAGAATATGTTGAAGACAAGAGGGTATCTGCAAACATGCCTCTTCTCTTCACTTTCATATTTCTCTAATGTGTATTTTCACTCAACCAGTCAGTTCAGTTGCCGTTCGTGAGTGGGTGCTTCAAAATATAGTTGGCATGGTATCTTGGTACTAAGGCTCCAAGGCTTAGTGTAAGTCTGGGAGTTCTAACTGCTGCCACTTACTTGTTATGTGAACCTGTATCCCCTCTTAAAGTAGCTTTAATTTACTTTTCTTCCCTCCTTAAGGATCTCTCTTGTCTTCACCCTGGCCCAGAGGTCACATTGTTCTCATGAGAGGTACATATCTGAGATAGGGCCCGTGAACTCTGAGCTTTCTATGCAGTTTAAGTGAATTCATAGGGAACATGATCTATGAAGAATACTCATGATTATGAATGGTAGTTTCAGGGTTTTGGTGAGGGTAGCAGGGAAAAACACCTGGTCATAAAATGGACATGTGCTTCTCTTTAGTGAAATTTTAAAAAATCTGAAGCTACAGTATAAACAGCAGTGAGGTAGGGAAAGCTCACATTTGGTCAGTGACTAGAATGTGCATGGCCAACACTGGTTGTTTCTCTTGGCTAGAGATTATAATAAAGTAAGCAACTGGATCTTACTTATAACATATGTCTTCCTTCTTTATTCTAGGTTTATCTTGATGTACGCCACAGTACTCTGCACTCAGTATAATTCTGCTCTTACAACTACAATAGTTGGCTGTATTAAGGTGATTTGAAAAAATATTATCTTTTTGGTACCTGCTTTATTTGAAAATTGTTCCTCTAAAATAAGAGTCTGGCTATGGCCAAAAGCCCCATAATCCTTATTTCTTTACTACTGTCTTGATGGTTTGACAAATTGTCATGACAGTTTCTGAAACAATCTTTAAGAACTCAGGAGGGGCATAGTCTCTACTAGCAGGCAACTTAGTTCTGAGGACTATGGGAAAAGGAAAATGTATTATCTTAGAGTAGAAGGAAGAAAGAGAATTAGGCTTGTTTTCTGACTGGGCAAATAAATAGCTTGGTAATGATAGGTCTATCCCTTTAACCCCCAGTGAGAACTGTTCTGTTCTCTGCCTCACTGAATTCTGGCTACTCTGCAGGGAGAGGATGCCTGCCAGAAGCTAATCAAGGGAGTTTTCCTATGCCTGAGCCAAACCGTAAATGGCCCACTTTTAAAAGCTGTGTCTGACATTTCCAGTGATGTCATTTTTTTCCTGATCCATATTATTTGAAGGAGACTCATTTGTCTTCAGCCAGAAGAGCCAAGTTGGCTTGAATATTGAGCCAAAGTTAGTGGCTTAAAGTCTGAGGCCTCTTTCATCTGTCTTTGTGATACTAGTGCTTTCAGATTCAAGAGGTCATAGCATGTCCAAATTCCAAATGAATTAGCAAAGTGAGCTTGCTTTCTAAAAATGGCAAGGCAGAGAGAGATAAGTCCTTGATCATTGTATTAGTCCATTTTGTGTTGCTATAACAGAAATACCTGAGACTGGATAATTTATAAGGAAAAGAGGTTTATTTTGCTTATGATTCTGGGACAGTTGCATCTAGCACAGGCCTCAGGCTGCTTCTACTCATGGCAGAAAATGGCAGGCAGCTGGCAGGTACAAGCAAATCACATGGTGAGAGGAAAGGATGAAAGAGAGAAGAGGTGCCAGGGTCTTTTAAACAGCCTGCTCTCTTGGGAACTAATAGAGTGAGAACTTACTCATTACTCCCCCCTCCCCCATGGAGAGCATTAATCTATTCATGAGGGATTTGCCCCCATGACTCAATCAGTTTCCAACACTGCAACATTGGGGATCAGATTTCCACATGAGTTTTAGAGGGGACAAAACAACCAAACTCTAGCAATCATTTTGGGAAAAGAGGGCAGTTGCCCTTGTGTCTTCCTTTTTGATGCCCCATTAGTCAATAATGAGGGAAGGGGTTGCAAATGTAAAGTTTTTACTGCTCTGCTATGTTTCCCTCTGTACCCCCAATGGAGTGGTACCCACCTGACCTCACCTTAGTAACTATATTGGGTTAAAACTCCAGATCTTTGGCTTCAAATCATAGAATTGGAGTGTTTGGTATAAATAGAATTCTAAGTTAAGCTATAACAAGTCAATTGTGTGAATTCCCCCAGAAAGCTAGAGACAGTCTTTATTTCAAAGGACTGGGCTGGCTGAGGCAGTTTTAGCCCCTCACGTTAGCTCTCAGCTATATTTTGGTTTTGCAAAGTGAACGCTTCAAAAGCAAAGTAGATGGCTTGGATCTTCAGAATAAGAGCAGCAAGAGCATAAGAGATAGGACAGTTGGTACCACGTTTTTAGCCAAGAAGAAGGATGGTGCAGGAAAGCCTATGTTTAATTTTAATAGCAAAACCTATTTGCTTGGAATTTCTTAGTGTACTTTCTTCGTCATTATCAGCATGGGAGACAAATATAGTTATGCTCTTGTTAACATGAGGTCCATACTTTTCTTTTGATATATGCTTCTCCCAATAGTAGTCCAAGAACTCTGTGGACTTAGTCCAAAGGGATTAATTTTACTTAACAAACCGTAGAAGGAGGAAAAAAACTAGATTGTCTGATTAGTTTGCTGTAGCTCTTGCTTCTCACTGATGCATGGTATTGCCGCTGAAGGATGGCTTGCATCTTCAGGCAGATTGGAGTCCGATGATGACCTTGCTGAGTCAGTCTCTCAGGCCACAGTGAAGCTTCTGACATTAGCCTCATAGTCATAACCCGTGTAGCTCAGCCACTGTTCCCCCAAGGGGCTTTACGCTTCCTTTGGTGCTTGAGGATCCCAAACCCATAAGTCCTTGGGTTAGCATTCCTTGTTTCTCTTTGGTGTGGTGGGAAAATTGCTTAGGATAACTAGTTACAAATGGAAATTCCTAGGCGTACCCGATATACTGAATCAGAATCTTTAAAGTAGAGTCTGAAAATCTTCATTTCTAACAAGGTTTCCAGATGGTCAGGTATACTGAAGTTTGAGAATTGCTGTCTTAGTTTTGGGCTACCATGATAGACTCTTTGGTGCTTCTTGATAAATTTTGTTTGGGGGACGTTGGTGTCTTCTCCTGATAGCAAACCTTGTTTAGGATACTCTAATATATACCTCCAGTTTTTCTAACTTCTGATTTTGAGCAGCAGGGGGTAGGTTCTCTGTCCTCTTCCTTTCTGACGTTCCCTGAGTAGTTTATGCAAGTTAATCCACCTTCTCCCTGGATTTCTGTATTCAAAGAGCAGTCCTGTTACACACTTCCCAAGTTGCCCATTGGCCTTGTTTACTATTATATTTTATTTAATTTTTTCACTTTAAATAATGAGAAAATTTGCTCTAAGATAACTTGCTGTCCCCATCCTTAGACCTAGAAGAGGCTGATGTAATTTAGAATGCTCTCTCAAAGGGCACTTCATTATAAAAATAATTTCGAAGTTTGTTTTTGGCCTTTTAAAAAAACACAATAGCACTTTACTTTCTCTCTTATAGGCCTAATGTAGGAGAGCCCAGGTAGTAAAAATATTTTTGACATTTTCAGTTTATGGCAGTTTTAATAACAGAGAGGAAGGCAGTGGCTTATGAATGTGAAAGAAGGGAGATTAGGGAGGAACTGAATAATAGTTTGAACTTTGGAAACTTGTTTTTCTCTTTTGTGGTCTGAGGATAATTAAAAGGGAACCAGAAGATATTGCATTTGGACTGTCAGGAGATGTGATTTTAGGTATAATACTGTGAGTTGACTTTCCATGTGTTTTATTTTTTAAGATACCAAGGAATATTCCTCTAAAAACAGTCTTCATGTTGGTAAAGACTCTACCATCTCCTTTTTCCATTTTGTTTTTTTGGGGTTTTTGTTTGTTTGGCTGGCTGGCAAGTACAGGGATCTGAACCCTTTACCTTGGTGTTATAACACCATGCTTTAACCAGCTGAGCTAACTGGCCAGCCCTTCCTTCTTCCATTTTAAAAGAGGAGGGACAGATGCTTGCATATAAGCAGTCTTCTCCTCACAAATCAACAGAGATCTCAATGGGAGGAAGAAGTCTTTTCTAAGATTGCTAAAAATGTGTCTTTGTATTTTCTACCCTTAATAACAACAATGTTTCTCTATTTAGATTTATAATGTCAGCCCATAATAAAGGGCAGGGAAAGTTTGATAATCTTGTTAGTATTCTTCAGTGTTGGTGAAAGCATTTATCTGGAGAAATAGATTGAGAAGAGGCTAATGTCACTGATTCCTTATTAGTGTTCTTGATCATACTACATTCATTTTAGGGTTGGTGGGTTTTTGTTGTTACTGTCTATTTGCTTTTGTATTTTAAGGATAGGTATTTGGGTCACAGCATGAATGAGTTTAAATGTATATTTAAAAAGCTCAGTTAAACCTATGTAACAATATATCGCCATTTTTCTTTTTAGAATATATTAATAACTTATATTGGAATGGTCTTTGGTGGAGATTATATTTTCACATGGACAAACTTCATTGGCTTAAATATCAGGTAAGTAAAAATATTTAATTAAATCTAACCACTCTGACAAGTGGGATTTGGATACTCAAATAGTGTCACAGTAAGGTTGGGCTATTAATTCAATGACAAATTTGTTCATTTATTAAAGAAACACTTGTGGAGTGCTTCCTGTGTGGTAGGTATTTAATGTCTATGTCTCTATGTAATGCTTTTTAAGAAAGAGGGAGAGAATGGTTCCGTATTCTATGCATAGTATCTGGGGAATCTTTTCTGGAGGTTGAACTCCTTTTACTTAGCCTTCAGAGAATGGTCCTTTAATTGTTATGCTAGATGGCAGCACAGTGTTCTCAAGAAATTCAGGGCTAATGAAGATTACCAGTTCTGTTACAGTTGCTTTGTGTATCTGACCTTAGACATATCACTATCTTTTTTTAGACCTTACTTATCTTCATCAGTGAAGGGGGTGATTTGTATTGTATGAGAGATCTTTTTCAGTTCTAGAATTTTGAATCTCATGGTTTTAAATATTATTTATATGACTAAAAACTATAAAATTTATATTCGATCCAGACCTCTATCCTAAAGTCAGACTTGTCTAACAGCTCACTTCACATGTGCAGCTGACATGTTCAAAACTGAACTTTTATTTCCTCCAAAGTCTATTCCCCACAGTCTCTATCATCTTAGTTGATGGAGAGCCCTTTCTTTTAACTGTTATTTCAAAAATCCTGGAGTCATCTTAGACTTTTCTGTCTTGTATCCAGTGTATTAGCAAATTTTATTGGCCTTACCTTCAGAAAATATCCAGTAGAGAACTACTTCTCATTGTTTTTGTCATCGTCTAAGCCACCAACATATCTTGTGTAGATTATTGGCTTAGTCTTATATACTTGAATTCCTTGCTTGACTCACTGACCTCCCTCTGCCCCGATAAATTTCTCAATGGAGTAGACAGTGTATTTCTTATAAAAATTAAATCAGAACATGTTATCCTTTTAGCTCTGCACACCCCCCACCCCACCCCCCCACACCCTGGCCATGGCTGTTCAAGTCCCAAAATACTTACAAGGCCCTACAAGATCCATCCCTTCTTTATCGCTCCGACTTCAGCTCCTGCTTCTCTTCTCCCTCACTGTGTCTGCTTCATCCACATAGACCTCCTTGCTATTCCTCTCTTGCTTTGGGGCATCTAGACTTTTCTTCTGCCTGAAACAATATACTGACATATGTGCATGACTCTTTTATACCTGTACATTTTTGCTCAAATTTTACCTTCCCAAGGAAATCTATCCTGGCCACCTTATTTAAAATTGCAACGTGCTTTCTCTCTTCTGATACTCCCAAACCCTCTTATTCTGCTTTTCTGGTTTTCCGGAGTACTTAATCACTTTCTAATCCTATATAATTTGCTTATTTTTATTTATTGCCTACTTCTGTCTCCTCTGCTAGAATATAAGCATGATAGTAGGGATCTCTGCCTATATTGTTCACTGATATTTTCCAGGCTCCTAGAATGAATTCTGGAAGTTGCTTAATGAATACTTGCTTATTGAATTCTACATGGATTGGTGAAAAAACACTTTGGAAACTATAAAGCTCTCTACTGGTATATGGTAGTATCATCTTTTTAATTTGCAGCAAATTGAATAACCTCTTCAACTTTTTATTCAAATGTAAACAAATACCTATTCTACCTTCCTATGGATCAATTTAAGAATTAACACTAATGTCGTTAATAGGTTAATAATTCAATTTTGGCCTTGCCTGTCATTTACTTACCACTATTGTTGTATGTCTTTTCAAGGAAAAGTCATTTGTTATTTGTGGGGGTAAGAGTTGGAGGGAAGGTTGGTATATGTGGATACCTGAGGATTAACTATTATAGGAGGAAGATGAGTAGCTGAGTGTCATACCTTGTTTGGAGTTGTAGTTGATGCTTGTCACATGTGTTACTTTGAGCAAGCTGTTTGTCCTTTCTGAGTTTCAGTTTTCTTATGTGTTTGGGATGAAAATAACTCTCTCTTTAGAGTTTTAGAAAGAAATAATCTACTGAATATAAAGTGCTTGTTCCCTATTTGACATCTGTTCTTAGTAAATATGAGTTTCTTTCATTAATATTTTGTGAGGAAGGGCCAGAATATCAGGAGCAACATGGTGAATCTGTTCTGATTTTGAATGTGGCCTTAGTTTCATTTATTTCTAAAAATCTGGGTTGAAGAATCATTACAACACAAATATAGACTTGACTTAGAGATCTCTTGATTTTCTGTTTTGTCCTCCTCCAAATAAATAACATGATAGCCAAAATGAAGTAAAAACTTCTGTTTGCATTTTCAGATCTCTGCAGTTTAAATCTCTTATGATAAAATAGTATCATAAAATAGCCTCAAAAAGAATAAAATACTTAGGAATAAACTTAACCAAAGAGGTGAAAGACTTGCACACTGAAAACTATACTAGGTTGATGAAAGAAGTGAATACACAAATAAATGGAAAGACATTCTGTGCTCATAGGTTGGAAGACTTAATATAGTTAAAATGTCCATACTGCCCAAAGTGATCTACAGATTCAGTGCTGTTCCCATCAAAATTCTAGTGGTATTCCTTACAGAAATAGAAAAACAATCCTAAAATTCATGTGGAACAACAAAAGACCCAGCATTGCCAAAGCAATATTGAGAAAGAAGAAAAAAGGTGGAGGCATCACAATTCCTGATTTCAAAATATATTACAATGATACAGTAACTAAAACAATATGGTACTGGCATACAGATATATAGACCAAGGGAACAAAATAGAAAGCCCAGAAATACCCACGTGTTTATGGTCAATTGGTTTTAGACAAAGGTGTCAAGAACACACAATGGGGAAAGGATAGTCTCTTCAACAAATGGTTCTGGAAAAACTGGATATCCATATGCAAAAGAATGAAATTGGACTCTTATACCACACACAAAAATCAACTCAAAAATGGATTAAACACTTATGCATAAGACCCCAAAATTTAAAATGCCTGAAAGAAAACGGGAAAAGCCTCATGACATGATTTTATGGATCTGACACCAAAAGCACAGGCAACAAATGCAAAAACAGACAAGTAGGACTACATCAAACTAAAAAGCTTCTGCACAGGAAACAATCCAACAGAGGGAAAAGGCAACCCACAGAATGGGAGAAAAGGAACTCAATAGCAAAAAACCAAATCACCTGATTAAAAAATGGGCAAAGGACCTAAGTAGACAGTTCTCCAAAGATGACATACAAACAGTGAACAGGTTTATGAAAAGGTGATCAATGTCACTAATTATCAAGGAAATGCAAATTAAAACTACAGTGAAATATCATTTTATACCTATTAGGATGGCTGATTTTTTTTTTTTTTTTTTTTTTTTTTTTTTTCCT